TCTGAGCCCGAAACGTCAGCCTTCCTGCTCCTCTGATGCTGCTTGGCCTGCTGTGTTCATCCAGCTCTGCACCTTGTTATCTCAGATTCTCCAGCATCTGCAGTTCCTGCTATCTCTGAAACAATTATGACCCACAGAGAGGCTGGCATACCAAGTGCTGGGAAGTCAGCGCTAAACAGTGAGAGTGCAGTCAGAGAGTAAGGTGAAGTGTAGAAAGGCTGGCAGCCCCCCAGTAATTATAAAGTGAGTGAGCACTAAGAGAGCAAGGTAATAATGTGAATCCGATGTAGAGAAACGAGATGTGTGTTTGTCCCTAAACTCAAAGTGGCCTGGAGAATACATACAGATGTATTTGAATAAGGATGGGAATGGTCTCAGATGAGATAAGACCATTGTTAAATAGTTCACCTTTATTCACTGCCTTAGGAGCTTACAATATAAAAAATTCTACCACCTACTGAAAGGAAAAAATTACCTTGCAGTTTGCAACAGCCAGTTACAGTTTCTTTTGGCCATGTACTGTCTCCAGTAATGCAATGAATAATCACCTCTTGAGGTGATATTCCATGCTGCAACTATACCAAGCTGCACTAACAGAGTTAATCTCTACAGTCTGGATTGCCTAAAATGACTGCACTTAATACAGGCTAAGACTGATCATGATCCCTCCTTTGTTTATATTGCATAAACCAATTATCTTTATTCTGGCATTGTATCATAGTGAGTTGTTATTTGGTTCCCATTACCACAAAACCCATAGTGGAAGGAAAGAGTCTTGATTCAAGGCTTTCCTCTAATGCACTCTAATTGAAATAAGCTTCTGTTCTCATTTGGGCCCCGACAGCATGAAAGCTGTTCATCTGGACTGAATTCAAATAACATCCAGCTCATATTAATTACTATTTCTCAAAGAAGGGTGAAGCTAATCCACTCTGAGCAGATCACAATTAACACAGCATCATTACTGGTTTGGGTTCATTTTGACTAGAATCCAATATGAAACAGAATCTAAACAACAAGTTTCATTAGCTTACAAGTCAAAACATTATGGCCTTTCTGCGTCTTACCAGTAAAAAAAAAATCTTGCTAGACTAATTTTAACTCATTTCTGCTCTTTTACTCAAAAACTCATTATTTTCAACTGAATGATCTGAATCAAGCTACATCTGAATTTGTACTGCATTCAGGTTTCCACATTAAATAATGTAGAATGGCTAACATTGTTTACGTAAACTGTGAATATTGGAATGGTGGGCAAGCCATAGAGATATATTATTTCATGGCGCTTGTCAATGTACAGGATTTGGCTGTCATGAACATCAACATCACACTAATTCAATTGGTCTAAACTCATCTTTATCCTGTATAAAAAGACTCCCATCAACCTATCAATCGGTTCACTCATCTATTTATAACTTACCTATGTTCATCTTGCCATTAATTCTGCCATGCGCTATCCTATGGTATCTATTGCTAAGCACAATAGGCCACCCTACTGTATACATCAGATAATATTGTGTCAAAAATCCACTGTGCTGTGTTCATTGACCTTGTGGGATGTGATAGCTAGTGTTACACAATTGACTTTAGTTCCCCATAAGTAATGAGCATTCCTTTCTGAAGTGAGAGTCAGTTAGCTCAGTTGGCCAGACTGTTTGTTTGTGATGCAGAGAGATGCTCAACAGCGTGGGTTCAATTTCCAAACCAGCTGAGGTTACTAAGAATGGCTCCCGTTCCCCAAGGTGTAGTGACCCTCAGGTCAAGCCACTACTAGTTGTCCCTCTCTCTAATGAGAGAGTAGGACTTTACCTTTACAATCAACAGGTTTTCGTTAGAAAACGAATGTTGGTGGATACAAATGACAATAGAATTGTGTATGATTGTGAGCTTTGGCGAGGTATTGAGAATGGCCTTGTCAACACAAATTGTTGAAGCTCAAACAGGTAAAGAGGTACCATGGACTCTAACTGAACAATGATTGATACCTTAAGGAGAAGGGATAAAACATGAACAGGAGAGGGAAACTTCTGTCACAATGACCCAAAATTTGCAGGGTTTGGAAAGCAAACTACCACTTGCAGTTGTTGCTACTTTGATTCTGACAGTAATATCAGTATGGAGCAAGTGCTGATTAACACAGGAATCATTAATTGAAGTCTGAGAGGACACAAGGGCAAATTCCACCACAGCAGCTGGTGGAATTTAAATTGGATGAATTAATCTTTAAATTCTTCAAGTGAAAGCTGGTATCAGTAATGGTGACCATGGGATGATCATTGATTGTCATAAAAATCCCCTCTGGGTCACTGTTGTCCTTTAGAGAAGGAAATCTGCAATCCTTACCTAGTCTGGTCTACATGTGATTCTAGAACCACAGCAATGTGGCTGACTCTTCACTGCCCTCCAAATGGCCTAGCAAGTGATTCAGTTGTCCAAACTGCTAGCATGGTAGATATAGTGACACTGGATGGACGGCAGTGTTCTAAGGAAGCAGCTCACCATTACATTCTCAAGGACAGTTACAGATTAGCAATAAATGTTGGCCTTGCCAGCAATGCCCACATACCATGACAGCTTTCTTTTAAAAGTCTGTCATTTACAATTCCATCAAAGGCTATGCTGCAGACCACTCACTATCCCACACCCCTCCCCCAAAGCCAACACCAATCAATTTATTGTGAATGCCCCATTTCTGTTCTCAAATGTAAAAACCCATAAAAACATTTAGCATTGATAAATAAAGTGTAACTGGCTTTTTAATCGCTGCCTGGACAACTGGCCTAAAATACAGTATATTTGTGGCATGTTATTAATTTAATTATTAATTGTCTCTGTTATGATTAACATTTAGATGTTTTTAAATAATTATGATTTATTTTTGAAATGACATTTATGATTTTACTTTATATTCATCTACTTGTCCAAATCTTTATTTCAAACTCTGTGTAACTTTTAAACAATAATTTGATTATTGGCGTGTTTCATTGTCGAGCTGGCTGTCAATGAGAATTCTTCACTTTGACTGGCTCCGCAGCCAGCTTGATAACACCACTACAGTCTAATGCTGGGAATCCCTTGGAAAATGCAAATCAAGACAGTCAAAGTGCTTGTCAGAGGTGATGACATTTCTTAGATTCTGAATGTTTTTCTCCAAGGTCAGTGGCAAGCATCTTTGCTTCACTATTTACAAAAAATTCTGGACCAATAAAAAAATCATTGAGGGATTAGTAATGCATCTGCATACTTAACCTTGTACACCTTTGATAAATTCTTTCAAAGAATCGTAGAATTATAATGGGGAAGAGGAGGCCCTTCAGCACAATCGAGCCTGTACTACCAAAAGTACACTATTACCTACACTAGTCCCACTTTCCCACACTAGGCCCATAGCCTTCAATGTTAGGACACTTCAAGGGCTCATCCAAGTACTATTTAAAAGTTGTGAGATTTCCTGCCTCAACTCCCCTCTGAGACAGTGCATTCCAGACTGCCACTACCCTCTGGGGTAAAATGTTTTTCCCCAAATCCACTCTCAATCTCCTGTCTTTTACGTTAAATTTGTGCCCCCTTGTTACTGACCCTTCGACTAAGGGGATATCCAACCTATCCGTGCACCTTATAATCTTATGCACCTCTATCAGGAACCCCCTCAGCCCTCTCTGCTCCAAAGTAAATGACTTAAGCTTACCCAACTGAAATGCTCTGACCTACACAACATCCTGGTGAATCCCCTCTGTACCCCTTCAGTGCAATCACATCCTTCCATTAGTGTGGTGACCAGAACTGTACACAATACTCCAGCTGTGGTCTCACCAAAGTCCTGTACTGCTCCAGCATAACCACTTACTCATAAACTATGCCATGATTGATTCAGGTAAGCGGCCCATTAGCCTTCTTAACTGCCCAATTAACCTGTCCTGCCACCTTCAGAGATCTGTGGACAAGCATCCCAAGAGCCCTATGTGTTTCTGAGCTTCCTAGAGTCCTGTTATTTATTGAGTTCTCCCTTGTCTTGTTCCTTCTTCCAAAGTTCATCACCTCACATTTATCGGAGTTAAACTCCTTCTGCCCATTGTAATAAAATATCACAAATGAGCAAAATATTTATACATTGCTACTTGAACAGATGCCAAACAAAGTGCTGGAGAAACACAGGAGGTCTGGCAGCATCTGCAGAGAGAGAAACACAGTGAATGTTTCGAGTCCCACCTCTTTGGTCCGAAATTCCAAAGAACAGCTATCGCTCTATCCCCACAGATACTGCCAGAGTAGCTGAGTTTCTCCAGCAGTTTCTGTTTTTACTTACATGTTGCTATTTTGCATGATAATAGCAATTAAACTATAGAGTAATAGATTTACAATTAAGTTAACTAAAAATTATTCATAATACTGGCAGGAAGTTATGATTTATGTCACATAACTGGTATTGCACAATGATTTCAATAATGATCCCTCAGTCTAAATAACCACTTATTTCAAACCTGTCACAGATTAAACTGATTTGTGACAGCATACATCTCTCAGGACATTCCTTTGAGTAATTTATAGAAAAATATTTCGTTGACAAAACATTTGCTCAGAAGGCTGCCCAAAACAAATAGAACAACAGAATGATGGATTTTTATTATACTTGGCACACTTTTCTTTTCACTTTTCGAATAGATATGTTTCAGGTTTGTGTATTCTTTAAACTTACCGATGCACTGAGAACCATCTGCCGATGTTACATAGCCACGGGGGCAGGTACAGTAATAGCTGCCAATAGTGTTCGTGCACTCGCCTCTATCACAGGCACCAAAGATTGTTTGACATTCATCAATATCTGAAAAATAAACCAAAAAAAGGGAAAAGAAATCAGCCAATTATACAAAATTATAACCAGATGGGATCTGTCTCTATGAATGACGAATTTGTTACATTTGCAAAAACTTTACTGATAATCCAGTTACCGAGAATATTTAGAACACCTCTGAAGTCCCAGCGAGGGCTTGTTGTTATCAGCAGTGTGGTTTGTGAATAGATTCACTTGCATCCTCATCTGGGACTAAGGCTCCCATACTAATGCCTGTGGTCACCAGTGCTTCTCCAGGGCCTGCAAATAAATTTGTGGCTTCACCTGCCACTGACTCAAACTCTTTGGTGAATTCTATATAAATACATATTCAATTTGATACCTCTTACTCTGCTTCCAGACTCCTTAATTTTTTTTTTGCCCAATTATCAGTCTTTTCACTTTCATTCTATGTTTAGGCTCTTAGTCTCCTGCTTTCTCCTTCGTGGTTAGTGGTCCTTCACCCTATTTTAGAGCCCTGGCATTATTCTCACACTCTGCATATATCACACTTCCCTATTAGGTTCTCAATTTCCAGCTATCATTCTCTGCATTGCACCATATAGAACCACAGAAGTTTTACATTATAGAAAGAAGTCATTCAGCCCATCGTATCTGTGTGAAGTGAGAAAACAACTATCCAGCTGTTCTAATCCCACTTATCAGCACATGGTCCGTAGTCTTGCAGGTTACACGTTTCATGTTTTCTGAATAAGTTCAGGGTTTCTGCCTCAACCAACAAACCAGGCAGTGAGGTCCACGCACCCATCATCCTCTGAGTGAAACGGTTTTTCTTCATGTCCCCTCTAATCCTTCTAAGAATCACCTTAAATCTGTGCCTCCTTTTAGCCGGCCTCTCCTCTAGGGGAAACAAGTTTTACTTGTCCGCTCCACCCAAACCCCTCATTATTTTATACCTCACAATTAAGTTGCTCGTCAGTCTCATCTGCCCCTAGGAAGACAACCACATCACATCCAAACTTTTCTCATAGCTCCAATTTCAAGCCCTGACAACATTCCTCTAAATGTCCTTTGTACTCTCTCTACAGGAATTATACCCTTCCTGTAATGTGACCAGAACTGTACAGAAAATGTCATTTGCGGCCTAGCCAGTGTTTTATGTAGTTCCGACATATCATCCATGCTTTTGTATTCAATACTTCACGCAAAGAAGGAAAGCATAAGACTTTCAGAAATAGTAACACTGCTCCACCATTCAATAGGATCATGGCTGATCCAACACTCCTCACTTCCACTTTTCTGCCTTCTCCCCTTAATCCTTGATTTCCCGACTGATCAAGAATCTAACTATCTCAGCCTTAAATACACGGAAGGATTCTACTCGATACCTTTCATTAATAAGACCACATTAAAATCAAGTTTCCTGCTTGCTGGTTAGTCACAGTTATTGATAGGGCATCATCATATGAGGCATAAAATATTTTCAGAGAAAGTAGGAATTGCCGATGCTGGAGAATCTGAGATAACAAGGTGTAGAGCTAGATGAACACAGCAGGCCAAGCAGCATCAGAGGAGCAGGAAGGCTGATGTTTCAGGTCTGGACCCTTCTTCAGAAATTTCTTAGAATGTTTTCAGGTCTTGTAAGATGAAAAGTGGACAGCATTAGATGGAGTCTATGATCAGTTTATAAGGTTTTGTACAAGTATACTTGGCGTTCAAGTTTAAAAGGGAATTTTTTATTCTCAGAACATATAGGGCATGTGGTTAAACTTTATTATTACAACCACTTTGGTGTATTAATCATCAGTTTACTAAATTTCAAAAATAATCCACATCGTCAATACCCTTTTATGCAAATAGCACCAGCTTTAACTCATCTTTTCAGGAAAGCACAATTCACATTACAACCATCTAAAGGCAGAGACCAAGCAGGTCATGTTTGAAAATATCCAAGACAGATGTTGGGAGGAGAAAAAAAAGCGAGATGGAGGAGGCCCTAAACACCATAAAATAAGGGCAAGTGTTTGTCTCCTTTCCTGCAGGATGTTGAAAACAGATATGTTTGGAAACTGTCTTCAAAAGCTGAAACAGAAAATGTGAAACAAGTTTCCAAGCTAACTCATGCACTAATATCCTATTGTACATGCCAAATGAAACAGTGCACTCACTTGGCAGCTGTGATTCATGATGGTCATTACACAGTTGAATTTTGTGGTAACGTCTAAATAGAGAAGTGCTTGAGTAATGGAGCAGAGGTGCCAAGAAGGGTAACAAGAATTTCATGAAGAAGGCCAATGTGAGTTTCGGCCAAGGAGTCCCTTAATTAATGGAATTAGATCTGGACTTCAATCATCAATTGTAATATTTAACAGTTAAATGCTCAGTAGCAGTTAACGTTATTTCAAGAAACGTTGAAGCAAAGTTTAACTTTTTTCTTTCTGACATACAGAGAATCTAATGCAAAGATTTTCAGTACTTCTGCAGTTCCCATCCTTCCAATATGTTCACTAAGTATTCATAGCAGTAACGGATGAACTGCCATGAATCACATTGACACTGAAAATCCGTACTTTGATAATAAAAAATGTCCCAGAAATAAAATAGGCTATTAAAGGTGTCATTAAATGTATAACAGTGTACTTTTTTTATGAACAATATAGCTCCTGGCACAGAGACATAGGTTGTGGATTCAAAACTTCTTCCAAGATTTGAGCAAAGAGTTCAGCTGGCACTTGAACTGTCAGAATGCTACACACTTGGAGCTCCTGCTTTCTGGATGAGGTGCTCATCTGAACTTCTGACTGTCTGTTTAGATAAATGTAAAAGATGCTCTATACTCTTCTGAGAAGATCAGGGAATCAAGGCACAACTGCTTTGATGTAAACGAATGACTTAGATTTGGGTGCACAGGGCAAAATTTCAAAATTTGTGGTTGACAGAAAAGTTACAAACATAGCGAATTATGAGGAACATAGTGACAAACTTTAAATGAACAAAGGCTGACTGGTGGACTGGACAGACACATACATGGCAACTGACATTTAATGCTGAGAGGTGTGAAGTGAAATATTTCAGTGGGAAAGACAAGCGGGAGTAATATGAAATAAAGGACACTATTCCCAAGGAACTGCAAGAACAAAGTGACCTGTGGGATGTGCGCACAAATCATTAATGGTGGCTATACAAGCTGAGAAAGTCATTAAAAAGCCATATGGCTTTATAAAGAGAGGCATAGAGTCCAGAAAAAAAAGTAGGTTAAGATGAGCCTTTATTAATCATTGTTTCAGTCTTACATGGTGCTCTATGTCCAATTTGAGCACTACATTTTAAGAAGGAAATGAAGGATTTATAGAGGGTGTAGAAAAAATTTAAGGTGGTTGGCAAAACAAAAAAACAAGATGACCCAAGAGAAAACCTTTTATGGAGTGTGCGTTTGGGTAGGGGTTGTGTTGTATTATGTCTTACAGTCAGTACGTCGTCATAGTATAAAACCTGATGGTAGAAAGACCACATACTCAATCCTACCTCAGTTCACTTGAAGCATGACACTGTAATCGAAGCACGCTGCTGTGTCGTAAACTACGAGCTGAATATTGGCCAAGACACACTTCAGCAGCACACAGATAAGACAAGAGAAATTGTACTTGGTTGTATTTGCACAGGATCAGCTAGTGTCCAGCAATGGATTAAAACAATAGGAAACAATTTTGAAACACAGTAAGTGGGAGTGACAAAAATCACATTGTTGCCCCACTATCCACACTCAAATGGTGGAAAGGAACATATGGTCCATATTGTCAAATCAATGATCATTAAATGTTGAACAACAAAAGTAAGATTTTCATATTGTACAGAGAAGTGATTACTATCTCCAGTACAACTAATGCCAGGCAGGTGCAAACGACCTTACCTGACAACTAACTGTCTAATCATTACAAGACACACCACATTATCCTTCTAGGGCAGATGAGAATGAACGTGATATGTAAATGAGTGAGCAGGTAGAGATCCATCAAAACTGCACAATGGGCAGAGAGTGAGAGTCAGAAATACACATACTTGGATTCCAGCAAAGGTTTCTGGAACTTGCAACTAGCCCCAGTCATAGGGGCATCATTACTGATCATGGTGTTACCAATCAGGTATGGAGTGAGTGAGGAAGAATGCTCTGATAATGATGATGATAATGTGGTCATGTTGAGGGACACCAGTGGAATCAAGGTGACCAAGATGACCAAACACCTACAGCAGAGAACACCACACGCCTCTTCAGGTGGGCATATGATCAGTAGATCAGAATAGTAATCAAACCATAAAAGAAAGTACTTGTAGAGGGGATGTGGCTGTAACTGGTTAGACCAGGATTTATTTACATCCCTAATTGCCCAGAGGGCAGTTAAGAGTCAAACACATTTTATAGGCCTGGAGTCACATTGGGCAGGCCAGGCAAGGATGGCAAGGTTTCCTTCCCTGTACGATATTAGCAAACTAGGTGAGTTTTTATGTCAATTAACAATTAGTTGCAATTAGACTAACTTTTGACTCCAGATTTTCACTATTTGCCATGATGGAATTCTAACCCTTGAGCTCAGAACATTAGACTGGGCTCTGGATCACTAGTGCAGTGACATTACCCATTATGTCACTGGTTCCCCCCAAAGACTTTGGCTGCTATATTCCATTTAAAAAAAAGTATTACACTAATGCTGTGTGACTCACTTTGACTGTGGTAAGTCAAGTTAGTTCAGTTTGTAGCAGTACTGCATCTGAAGGTTTAGATTTGAGCTTCAATCCAATAACTGGGCACATGTTCTAAACTGGCACCTCACTGCATACCAAGAGTGTCTTGGATTGCTGAAGAGCCATCAGTTAAATGAGGTGTGAAATCCAGGCCCTGTAATAACTGTGTTCAGTCTGCACATTAAAGATCTTTTTGCACTAAAAAAAAGAGAAGGAAGTTCTCTTGTCTATTGCTGGACTGTTAATGTTCCAGGAACCCATGTTTGAATCCTACCATGGCAGACGGTGGA